ATATCTAAACGAAAACAAGAGCTGTTTGGGGCTGAATTGCCGAAACGGCTAAATATAACACCCCACCAGTGCTTACTTTATTTCCTACCTCGTTTCCAATAGTAAGCCCTGGATAGGAAACTTTTTCCCTCTTTCCGAATTCGATACCGCAATTTGCTAGAAATTGATTTATATCGTGTACTTGGTGTTGATTTGCACAACGTGCAGTACGTGTTTTCGCGATCATTCGTTCACGTCTTCTCGAAAATATGTATTTCCTTTCTAATTTGTTAATATTAATATGTGTCATACCCCCCAAATTTGCCATTATTTTAATTTGTGTATGACTAAAGCAAGTCTATTGTTTTCAAGGTGGTTATGCTGCCTCATCAAATTCCTTCTTCTTGTACCCTCTGTGGTGTTGCCCTGTGTCAGGCATGGTTCACATGTATTATGTAAGACAATGTGGGGGGCAACAGCCTGGCCTGGAGTGATGGGTTGTTGGTGCGCGGGTGCGGCATTCCTTTCCTTGCTCTGGTGTAGAGTACACCACTCTCCTTGCTCTGGACTGGAATCACCGCTGTTACACTTTCATTATTTTGTAAACCCATCATTTTCCTGGCACAGGTAAGTTTTCCAAATTTGTCTTCATTTAAGTATTTATTTATCACTAGTATAAGTTCATAAGCGAACTATTAGTTGTCTTGAGTATTTTCAGAGAATATTTACTTTTTATTCTCAACTTCCATGATCATGAGTCGATAGTTATTTTCCACTATGAAACTTATTTGAACGAGTTCTTTCCTTGTACATATTGATTGCGTCTGATTCCAATTCATGATGTCGTTACAATATTCTGCTCTATATTTGAATGGATCTTTATGACTTCTGTTTTGAAAGTTTTCTTGAGTGGATCACTTCCATGGTCCATGGATTCAGTATTTTCCATGAAAGATATTTAATGATCTGATTCATTTATATTTCATTTGAACTGTTTGGAGTTTCTGAATGATGATTAGAAAGATTGAAGTTGATGTAGATATATGTTCAACCTATGGCTTTTAACTTTTCAAGTTGATGCTGATTTATGATTTCACATCATGGGGTTGCTTGAACATTTTGAACTTACTTGAGCTTTCCTTGCTTATTGATTGCTGAATAGTTATTTTATTCTTTAGATTAGTTGAGCATTTCCTTTTGATTAGATCAGATATAACTTGAAGTTTAATAGATGTCTGAGACTTGTATGAATCGTGCCATTTCTGAGATAGGACAATTCATTCATTGTAGGAATTGGTTTGTTTAATTGCTTTAGATTTGATTCTCTCAGTTTGCTCCTTTAACTGTAAGTGTATTTAGCCTATGATTTAGCCAAACACATTTTTTGTACCATCATAGTCACTAGTCACAGTTCTGCCACTCTAAGTTAGCCTGACCACGTGTGGGTCCAGTTGCTCTGTTATCTGAGACATTCTAGCACTGATCTTATCTTGTAAATCTTGTGTGCAAGACTCTGTCCAGGGTCCAGACCAGGCCAGAGTGTGTGAAAGTTTTGGTTGACCTTGGGTACACTGTAGATTGCTCATTTCGTATGCACGAGAATTTACTAAGGGAATAAATGTGTGCTCTGGAGGTTTTTATCACTCTGTTTAAGACCACTTAGAGTCTAAGTGGTCTTAAACAGAGTGATAAATACCGACGGAGCACATATTTATTCCCATTCATAAATACCTTTTCGGTAAGAAAAAATCATATAATTCGTTCAAAACATCCCGATTTTGTTCAACAAATTCACTTAATGCTTTTTGAAACATCCCTCTTGCAAAATAATGGAGTGTTCAGCTGGCGAGTAAGATGTAAACAACCCTTTTATGGAGATTGACGCGCGCGTATCATGTTCTGCGCGATGTCGCGCAGAACGCACCTGGCGCGTTGCATTTTGAATTTAGAACTATAAAATTCTGACTCCCTGGTAGTGTTGCGCATGCCTACGTGAGGATTGTGAACGTTCAACCAATGAAACGATAAGAGGCACTGGATTTTTAGGAGTCCACATTTTATTGTGACACTGGAAAAGTGTTTAAGACCAGCTAGCCATGTCTTTATCATCCGTTTAAGACCGGCCACGTGACGGGCTCTCGACCAATAGGAATAGCTAAACTGTCTGAGGTATTTATGAATGTTGTTTTATCATCATCCACCTGTTGTAGGCTGGTCGCACTGTGTTCGTTGTTTATCTTTACTTAAGAACTGGCCTTAGGCTTGTGTTTTGGTTATCTCAGTGTGAGCCCAGATTAATGAACTGTGGGAATAGTTTCAGTGTTTTGGTTTTAAGAAGGATTTTATGGATCTTCTTCTGATGACCTTAGTTATTTTTTAGGTATAGTTTTTCATATATTTTAGTTGATATTCCGTTGGTTATTTTTTATATGACTTGTTTATAAAATAATTTAGTTAATTATGATTCCTTTCCTTGCTCTGGTGTAGAGTACATCACTCTCCTTGCTCTGGACTGGAATCACCGCTGTTACACTTTCATTATTTTGTAAACCCATCATTTTCCTGGCACAGGTTCTCCTGCCGTTTGTCATTTTGGACGAGGACGAGACCTAGCTGTGCACTACTACTTCTACCATTGTGGAGCTGTGTGACGATTTTCTGTTCGCTAGCTTCCTCCATCACATCAGCTTAATTCCTTCATCACACCCCTCGCTGTCCCCTGATGAGTTGCTTTCTTCCGGAAGTTTCCCGCCTGTTGCAGTCCTTTGACGTCTCCGGATCTCCCCTTCTTCTCTGATGTTTTAATTCTCGTTCCGTGAACTTTGTTTTTTTCGTGAACTTTGTTTTTTTCGTGAAATCTTGCACAGTATGCAACTGTAATCCCGGGACATACCGTTATTTCGTTTTACCGTTTTGCATTTCCTCAAAACAAAAACAGTAAACAAACCATTGACCGTTTTATCGTTTTACAGTTTTGTAAAACGGTCAAACGGTATTAAGATAAATACGGTTTCTCTGTTTTATAAGTTTAATAAAATTCATTACAGCATAACGATCAATGATTTTTGTTTTACAGTTTTACACAAATAACTTTGAAAAATAGCAAAACGGTCAGTATTGAATACAGACTGTTTTTTTATTTCAGTGTCATAGTGAACAGTCCGTGGTGCATTTTGTGGTGCTGGGCAAGGGGGGTGGGGGGGGACCATGCTTTACATGAAAAAGTGTTACCTCGGCATAATGCGTGGTGTGATGATTCCTGGCGTGACCCTGACCCCTTTCTCAGTTGGTGGGGCTTAAGAGTTGCAAGCAAAAATGGCGCTGGAAAACTTCAAGGGAGGACATTACTTTTTACAATGGATACAGGATGGTAATACGTTTGAAAAAGTTGCAGATATTTGAAGGAAATTGGAGTTCGGCGCGGCTCTTCAATAGCCAGTTCGAAAACTATGTCGTGAGAACGAAATGTGAGGAGGGTAATTTGGGTCCCAGGCAATGACTCGATCCCATTAGGACGCATTAACATTTCTATAGTGTATTGCTTAATTGCCGAACCTAACTCAAAAAATGGTCGACAGGACTATTGACCGTTTTTCATTGTCATGTTCTTGTAAAACAACACTCTGAAATGAAGCAGCTAACCATTTATCGCTTTCAACAATTAAGAAAAACAACAAAAAGGTCATTGTTTTTTGTGACCTAATACCGTTTGACTGTTTTACAAAACTGTAAAACGAATAAACGGTCAACGGTGCGTTTACTGTTTTTGTTTTTGAGGAAATGCAAAACGGTATAACGAAATAACGGTATGTCCCGGGATTAACTACTGTGTCCAATACCATGATTTGAGAGAGGAGAGAGGAGGTAGTAGTGGGCGCGTACTGCTTGACACCCTGGGAACGAGGTTGATCACACCCAGCATCCACGTATACATAGCGCCCTCCAGCGTAATTCCCTATAGCACTGCAGCGAATAAGTGTGGTACAGAAAAACAATCGCGACCGTAAATAACCCCAACCTCGTCCCCAGTGCTTACTTTATTTCCAACCGCGTTTCCAATAGTAAACCCTGGATAGGAAACTTTCTTCCTGTATCCTGATTGGATACACTGATCTCTCTCTATATAAAGACTGGATAGCGGATAAGCATACAACATTCACACAGTAGACTTCGCATATTGACCAATTCGCCCCCGGTCTCACGAAGATGGCCGCGTATAATACGAACGATCTACGCGTAAATACGCGCGCGTTGTATCAACAGTTGACGCGCATTTTGGTCACGTACACATATTATGATGTTCTAAACGGGACACACTTCCGTAGTGATTATTATTTCAAAACGCCGAAAAAGTTATATTTGCGGCATTTTAGTAACCACGACGTTAAAAAAATTGTAGTTAACCTTGGTCAGTGATGGTGGTCAAAATATAAGTCAAGTGAACCGCGACGTTACAAAAGAAATCATGCTGTCTATAAAGACGGCAACTTGTCCTTTGTAGATCACCAGCCGGTCTCACCAATATGGCGTCAAATTCGTACATTGTGCGGCTCTGTATTAGCTATCCAGTCTTTATATAGAGATCAGTGATTGGATACCGCAATTGGCTAGTAATGGTTTTTATCGTGTACTTGGTGCTTCACAACGTGCAGTACGTGTTTTCACGATCATTCGTCCACGCCTTCTCGAAAATACTAATTTCCTTTCCAAGTTGCTCATATTAATATGAAATATGATACTGCATGTTGTCTCGATAAGATCGTAACAGTTTGATTTCAAATATCGTGTTTTCGTAACTCACGCCGTGCTCGCGCTGCTACGAATTGACTCTGTTTTTACCCCAGACACCGCATACAAAAACAAACGCTAATGTGTAACGCATATCCAGGCACCAGACTGTTCCTCATTTGCATACGTGTGCAAAAATCTTGCACATGCAAATGATCCAATACATGCAATACCAGGGCCTAGGGGTGAGAGAGCAGGTAGTGGTGGGCGCGTACTGCTCGACACCCTGGGGACGAGGTTGAAATAACCCGTACCCGGGCCCGCGCACCGTAAATACACGTGTCCGTAAGCAATTTGTCCGCGTCGCGCATTATGGTCACGGGCGATGGTATAGCAGTGGGAAGGTGCACTCCATGGTCAGTTTGTGATGTGATTCTACAAAGTCAAGGGCCGGCCCACTTGGTCAAAGTTAAACAACAGAAAGATAATTGCAGTTCTCAGGGCACAGTATTCAAAACGAAACCTTTGGCTTGCGAAAACGTCGAACATTATGATTCGTGAGCTCCTCTGCAAGTTCGTCTTCATCATCGCCGTCCTGTTTATTAATGGGGCAATAGTGCACGTGATTGGTGGAGGAGGAATGAAGTTCGAACCCGACGAAGATGCGGAGGTAGGTACATTTCAACTATCCTCGATCCTATATCTGCGCAGATAAGGCTTTGCAACCAAGTAGCTTAAAAATAGCAAAGCAGCCACTGTTTTCCTCAACAAAACTTAGGTAATCCTTACTTTTAGGACACCTCTATTTTTTATGAGTTCTGTTCAAAACTGACTTTTGCAGATGACTTTCCAGTACCAAAGTGACTTTTGCAGGCTAAAGCAGTCTTTTTTCTTCATAAACTCAAGTTAGTTGTAATTTTGAAAGCACTTTCAAAGAAAATGTGACTTTCCTACCTTTTTTTGCAGTCAGACGTCAAGTTGTAGTTCTCACAACACAAGTAGTGAAAGCCTTACATAATGAAAGCCGAATGCTGATTGGCTGCTAAAAAAATAAATAAGATGTTTATTTTTTATCAGCCAATCAGCATCGAGCTTTCATTGCATCGAGCTTTCATGTTTGCCATCTTGGTTTTGGAGTCTGTTTTCTGGTTGTCATCGTCGCCCTTTACCCCAAAATTTCCCTCATAAATCAAAGCCCTGCCCTCTTTCCACAAAATTAAACCTGCTGATATTCAAGAAGGTGTCATTGCCAATTGTTCAGATGTGTCAAGAAATATCAGAATGTCAATTATGAGTGTCATTAAGTCAACTGTTTTGGTGAGTCTTTCCCTTCCTATATAGGAACGGGGTCCTAAAAGTAAGGATTACCAAAACTTATCTTGTTGGTTTATGGATTATGAATGATCATCCACCGTACCGATTAACCCTAACTCCCTAGCCTAGGGGGTGTGCAAAATTATATTGAAATTAGAGGATTCAGGACTGTTACTTAGGGCTACTTCAAGAACTATGACAAGTATGAGGCTCCACGTAGTGGATACGTGGAGCCTCATAGTTCTAGGAGTAACTTGGGTCTCTTTATTTGTGGCAGCAAGCGGGGAATTCCAAAGCGTGCAGTTTTGGCGTTGTAGAAAAGAATCCTGCCTAATTCTGCGCAGGGGACGCTTCATGAAAAATATGTGCTGTCTGGGCCATGTAACTCAATATTAATTTTTTTTTTAATAACTTAGACTTGTTGGCTTTAGGAAAATATATTTCCTGAGCTTTTCAAACGTATTTTCTTTCTTTTTCCTTTTTTTTTTCAATGCCAATACATTTCGTAATTTCAAGATTATTTTCAATATCCTGTTGTGGAGATTTATACAAAGGCCAATATTTACATATTTTTTACATAAATAGACCAATCAACAGAGACAGTTTTTAAGATGTCGGATTTTAAAACTTATGATCAAACAAATTTCATAATAATAGAAGACATGTGTCTTTTTAGTTGCAACATAAGTTTTACAACCTTGTAGAAACTGCAAATTCTTATCTAGGCCTATGATAGCCCCATAAATGTGGCCTATTTACTGGACTGCCTCCGTAAACATAGGCCACACATCCACATGTACAAAAATCGTGTCGACGTTGCCAAATTTTGATTTTCACATTTAGGCTTAGTTTGTAGGATTTTTTTGCTTTAGAAGCATACTCACCCTCTTTATAGGCTAGTCAGAAAGTGCTGCCTTTTTCAGATGTCTAATTTTTGTGAATTTCATGTTGAAATTTTGATACGTGTACGTGTAAAAATGAATCTGGAAATTTTACTCACTACAGTTTCCTCAATAATCCCCGAAACTTATGCCTCGCAAAGTTGCTGTTGTGAGCATTGCATCACCAAAAATTCAGCTTTTAATTCTAATTTTGCAGAGAGTTATCGAAATCCAAACGTGAGACATCATGTTGATGTGTACTGCAATGCATTGTGCAAAAAAACTCCCTAGCTAGAACATTTTCATCTTGTAGATAAAACAGCGCCCTCTTGTTGATCTGAGTGAATGTAGAATGTTTCATTTTTTAACAGAGGGCGCTGTGTTCATTTGGCTATCAATTAAAAAACAAGTAAGCTGCAAGGCACTTCCTACACCTACCCAGAATACATTGGGAATCACACACCCATTTCCAGAGCATGGAGATTGACGTGGATGGTTTTTGAACTGCCAAAAACTTGCCTTAAAATTGGATTTAAGGTCTCAAATTTCGTAGGTGACATGCTTGCAACTTTATCATTTTGATGTATGTGTTGTGTGGGCATTAATTAGCCTAATGGTGAGTAAAAAAACGTCGGTAGTAATTTTGCACGTTTTTATGCACTCACGGTCCCATTCTGGGCTAGGCCTATGACATCTTGACTATAATGCTGATGATATTGGGAGACCAAGAAAGGTCACCTTTCGGTCATATTTTCGACTTCTGCAGGTCCGGAAGCATCTGGCTGCATTTTTACTTAGTAATAAGCTGTAAAATGCCGTTGTTTTCAATTTTTTGCCAGAATTCCCGATAGGAATTTCCACATTTGTTCGGCTTCTGGTTAAAGTTCGATCCCAGTGAATGTATGTAATTTTTTAGAATGCACGCCTTGCAAAATATAACTTAAAGGCGAGTGCGCAGCAATAGGAGCGTGTAGCTTGAGGAGGTCTGACGATGTAACATTCATGTCAGACAACGTTCGACTGTTACGGCGTCATAGGGAGTGCGGCGAAATCACGATTTTCTAAATCGTATTTGCAACTGTATAAAATGGTAGCTTGAGTAACTCTAGACCCGTGAACGTGGCGTTGTATAGTGAGTGCACGGAAATAAGAGCGCGTAGCTTGAGGAGGTCTGACGATGTAACATCCATGTCAGACAATGTTCGACCGTTACGGCATCATAGGGAGTGCGGCGAAATCGCGATTTCCTTAATCGTATTTGCAACTGTATAAAATGGTAGCTTGAGTAACTGTAGACCCGTGAACGTGGCGTTGTATAGCGAGTGCGCGGAAATAAGAGCGCGTAGCTTGAGGAGGTCTGACGATGTAACATCCTTGTCAGACAATGTTCGACCGTTACGGCATCATAGGGAGTGCGGCGAAATCGCGATTTCCTTAATCGTATTTGCAACTGTATAAAATGGTAGCTTGAGTAACTCTAGACCCGTGAACGTGGCGTTGTATAGCGAGTGCACGGAAATAAGAGCGCGTAGCTTGAGGAGGTCTGACGATGTAACATCCATGTCAGACAATGTTCGACCGTTACAGCATCATAGGGAGTGCGGCGAAATCGCGATTTCCTTAATCGTATTTGCAACTGTATAAAATGGTAGCTTGAGTAACTCTAGACCCGTGAACGTGGCGTTGTAAAGCCACGTTCACGGGTCTGGAGTAACTCCAGCTCCAATGCTCATCAGGAATTCCACATGTCGAATTCCTGATGAGCACTGGAGCTGGAGTCAAATTCCTGATGAGTAGGGCTGAGTCAATTCGAATAATTGAATATTCGAATATTCGACCTTCCAATCGATCGAATATTCGAATATTCGGTTATTTGGCCATTCCAAATTCCCTCAAGCAAAAATATGCCATACATGTACATGTAGTCAATGTACGTGAGCATTTCGGCATGCCATGCATGATTTCTTCACAGGTAAGTCAGGTATTTGACAACAATCAGTTGTTCTTCAGTCGTCAGTAATTTAAAGATTAACAATCACCAGAGAAGCTAGAGTGAAGGATTCCTTGTTTGCATGGGGGACGTATTAAGCCGTGAACCCCAAACACGGCGGGTGGCGTCAGCTATTGTGACTCTCCGACCCTTAACTCGCAAACAGGAACCGAGCATATCTATAAAAGTCTACAAAACAGTGTACTTCCTAGTCACAGTATTGAGGATAAAAAATCACTTTTATAGTAACAACTCGCACTTTTGTCACCAAGAATTGAGGAAATGATTTTATATCATTTTAAATAAACTTATTCTCAACAACCAAAAACTCCAAGAAAAAAACCTATGATATTTAATGTCTTTATTCAATGAAATATGGGTCTTTGAATTGTAAATGCATATTTAAGTTTATGCAAATAATGGGCCTGGGCGCAGCATACACACGCCCCAGCTTGACACGTGCAAAGCACTATTTCCTTGTTTGCCCACAGGGGATGTATTATAAGCTGTGTACCCAAAACACGAAGGGTGACATTTCAGCAACCCACCCTAAAGATAATAAAATCGCCAGCCGAGCTCCGGCGGGCGCATTGTTGGCGGGATAATTAGGGCACAGGTGCGCTGACCCGGTTCTTTTGTCTGGCTAAGTGCGTGCTCTGGAGATAACTTTCTAATAAATAGGCCACTAAAAGGTTTGGATGGATTTTTTTCTGATATGGTTGGTCTTATAGTTGCCTGACATCCTTTTATGCTATTCAGAACTTTAAATTTCAGACTTTTGGGGAAATTTACGACAACTATATGCAGTATTGTACACCTTGTGAACTTTGACCTTGGCCTGACCTTGACCTAGGCCCCCAAAACCGGGCACCCCCCTCTAGAATGTCTTCTAGGGACCTATACAGTAAGTGTACCAAATTTGGTGCTTTAATCCGGCGTGTCACAATCTTGCCCAAAATTAGCTCTAAGCCACCGGACTAGTGTGCGTGCAATCACGTGACCCTTGCTTCCGGTCGAAAAAGGCCAAAACCGGAAGTGGCTTATTATTTAAAAGTGGTAATAGATGTGAACTTGCTTTCAACGGTGTTCGTCTCTTGGGTAATAGTATTCTTCAAATCATCTACAGATGACGTCATGCAATCTTCGAGCGCCCTCTAGCGACAGGTTGAACATTTTCAAAAATGTATTTTGAATAGATGTCTGTGGCGAAGTTTGTCGGAATTGCCTAAATATTGGCGTATATGATGACCTTGACCCTCTTAAGACGTGTGCGAAGTTTTAGGCGTAAGACGTCATCAGACCGGAAGTTATAATGAAAAGACTGTTTTTCCTTTGAAAATTCCTGAAAAATCAACCATGGAAGTTTTTATATTACATGTAGTTTTTACTTTAAATGTCGATTTAAGGGTAGGTCTAAAACATTTCAAAGCTCCTGAGGCAATAAGCGAACTCGGACATGCCCTGCGCACGCTTAAAACATCAGGT